AACACACTTCAATAGTGGCAAAACACACCATGCGTAGTCAGGTGCCATTTATTTAGAATGGCACCTAAATGCAGTGGTTATTTATATGAAAGACAGAAATTTCTCATTGCTCAAGGAACCCCTAGCAATCTCTGGAGGAACCCTAGTGTTCCATGAAATCCTGGCTGAAAGGCAGAATTTGCTCATTGCTCAAGGAACCCTAGCAACGTTTGGAGGAACCATAGGGTTCCATGGAATCCTGGTTGACAGGCAGAATTTGCTCATTGCTCAAGGAACCTCTAACAACTCTAGAGGAACCCTGGATTTCCATAGAATCCTGGTTGAGGGGCAGAAATTAGTTATTGCTCAAGGAACCCCTAGCAAACTCTGGAGGAATCCTAGGGTTCCACAGAAACCTGGTTGAGAGGAAGAAATTGGTCATTGCTAAAAGAACCCCTAGCAGCCTCTGGAGGAACCTTAGGGTTCCATGGAATCCTGGTTGAGAGGAAGAAATTGGTCATTGCTCAAAGAACCCTTAGCAACCTCTGGAGGAACCCTAGGGTTCCATGGAATCCTGGTTGAGAGGAAGAAATTGGTCATTGCTTAAAGAACCCCTAGCAGCCTCTGGAGGAACCTTAGGGTTCCATGGAATCCTGGTTGAGAGGAAGAAATTGGTCATTGCTTAAAGAACCCCTAGCAGCCTCTGGAGGAACCTTAGTGTTCATGGAATCCTGGTTGAGAGGAAGAAATTGGTCATTGCTTAAAGAACCCCTATCAGCCTCTGGAGGAACCTTAGGGTTCCATGGAATCCTGGTTGAGAGGAAGAAATTGGTCATTGCTTAAAGAACCCCTAGCAACCTGGAGGAACCCTAGGGTTGCACAGAATACTGGTTGAGAATTGCTGATCTATGGCCAGCTTTAGAAGAGTTTTCCCATGTAATTTCTTCTCAATGAAAAAATAATAAATGAGAACCTTTTTTTTGTTTGCATTTAGTCTCTTTCTGTTTCTACAGAGGTGACAACACCTGAGGCCTTTTACATCAGACCCAGTTGCAGCCTCTCAGCCGAAATGAGACTTTCTCGATAAGTTTGTAACTCTTGCCGGTGACCTTGTGTTAGTTTGCTACCCGAGACTCTAATAAGTTGCTCTATACAATTCTGCTGTCAGGCTGTATCCAGTTGAGCTGCTTAAGAGAAGCATTCTTTGCCTTCAGGTTGTGTGCAGAACCTGATCCTTTTCTGGGCGATTAGTCCCTTGTGGGTGGCTTCCTGCAACATTCGGTAAAAAGCTGTCAGTTGCCGCTGGTGTATGCATGCTTTATTTCTCTGGAGGGTCATCCAATCAGAAACCTGGAAGGGGAGATGTAGCACTTTGTGGCCCCTCATTACAAATTCATTTTTAGACTTGCTGTTGAGAATGCTGCATACCCAAAGATTTTTTGTTTGTTTTGCAGCCGTTTTGTCTAGAAACATTTGTTACCTTAAGATCAGAAGATTAGAAACAGATAAAAAAAAAAATCTTTGTTTTCATGAATGTGAATCATCTGATTTGCTTGACTCGGCTGACAAACTGTTACATTCAAAATGTCCTCTTTTTCACAGATAAAAACAGTTTACAGACATTCAGAAACTTAATAACAGCATGAAACAAAAGGGCACCCTGACATCTTGTTCTTGCACGCAGCGGTACGACAAGTTCTCAGCTCTGTCATTATCCAGGGTACGAATTCTACACCAACTGCTCAAAGAATCCAACTTTTTAAATACAGTTCAGTATTCAGTCTGTTCTGTCTGCTTATAGCAATTATGGAGCCTTGTTTATCAAAGTGCCTTAAAGGGAAGGTACAAATTATTTATTATGACTGAGGCTAAAAAGAAAAAAAATATAACTTGCAAATATTCTTTTCTTTTTTTCTCAGTTGAAATTAAATATTGCATATGCATTGAAAAGAGGAAACTCCACTCTCCTGACTGGCCAACATGACATGGAAGTGAGGATGGGCTTCAGCCTACATGTCCCCACCAAGAAACCATGTCCTCTGATGTGTTTCATCCCACCCACTAGTGGTGACTAAGCCCCATGGGCAGGGCGAAATGCATCAGAGGCCATGGTTTCCTAGCGGAGACATGCAGGCTGAAGCCCATCCTTACTAACGTCATAGCGGCTGGTCGGGAGAGTGGCGTTTCCTCTGTTCGCTGTACACATTGCTCTGGATGGTCATACTGACAGCCGGCAACGCTTCATTCCTGTGGATCATGAGTGCAGAATCCATAGCTTGACTGGCGTTCCAAGCTTAGTCTAAGGTCGCAATGCTATGTGGCATGTTATACAATCAGCATGTCTGTTTACGAAGGTCAATAGCTTAAATCGGAACTAAACTGGGGCAGCACAGTGGCTAAGTGGTTAGCACTTCCGCCTGGCAGTACTAGGGTCGTTGGTTAGAATCCCAACCACGGCACCACCTGCCTGGAGTCTGCATGTTCTCCCTGTGCCTGCGTGGGTTTCCTCTGGGTACTCCGGTTTCTTCCCACACTCCAAAGACATTCTGGTAGAATAATTGGCTCCTGTCTAAATTGGCCCTAGTATGTGTATGTATGAATGTAAGTTAGGGACCTTAGATTGTACGCCCCTTGAGGGTTAGGGACTGATGTGAATGTACAATATATATATACAGCACTGCATAAATTGATGGCGCTATATAAGTACCTGTAATAAATAAATAACTAAACTGTATCTGAGCTCCATAAACTGAAAACGCTATTTCATTAATTTTTAATATTCAAAGCAGGGTGGATTTGATTTAAATCAAACTGATTTAAATCACAATTTAAATCACGATTTAAATCACTAGTCAGTAAGGCTTGATTTAAATCCTAGTTTTCTACATAGACTAATTCTTGCTGGTATAACTTTAATATACAAGTAGATGAAGATTTTTAGAATAACAACTTTTCATATTAGTTTTTTTATCCCCAGTTTAATAGGTTAATCATTCATATTTGGACAACTTTTCTGTTGTACTTAGGAAGGAGAAAAATAATCATTACCTTAATAATAACAATTTAAATGGATTTATTCAACTGAAACAATAACATTCCAGCATATGTGATTTGCTTAAACATCCATGTTTGTTAACTAATTTGGCTAAACAAAATATATATATTTGAAGAAACTTAGACTGTCAGCCCCTCCCCTCACACTTAGTTTCACTTTCTTCTTGTGCAGATCTATTCCACTCCAAACAATCAGAAAAATATCGTTTCTATTCTATTCACTGAACTTCTTGAAACTTAGCACTGAAGGGGTTGATTCTGTATTCATAGGTTTGTAGAAGTTAGGATGAAGGTCTTTTTCTTAACTCTGTTCATGTTATAACATTTTTGCTGTGAAGAAGAGGCATGTGATCTCCGCTGAGTCAAATTCAGTTTTGAGAACTGCAAAAGTAAACCAAACATCTGTGTGATAATATCTTGTAGGCAGAGAAACTGCCCAATAATCTTACAAACACCTCTGGAAGAGCATGACATTGTGAATGGATTCATGGAATTTATTTACCAAACAAATTAAACATATACAGCCTTATTCTACATAATTAAAAAACTCATCTTTATTTCATGACCTTTGGATGGTAATATATTTTCCTCAAAAAGCATTTTATTTAAAAAAAATCTGATTTAAATAAAAAAAAATCCGATTTAAATAAAAAAAAATCAGATTTAAATAAAAAAAATCAGATTTTTTTGATTTTTTAAAAAAATCATTGATTTTTATCCACCCTGATTCAAAGCAATTCACCCATCCATCCATCCATGTCTCCATGCTTTTTGTTGAAAACTGACTTTAAAAAGCACCCCCCTAGCATTTCTGGCCGTGGCCATCTTGAGTAAGGTCAGCTGATTCATGTAGCATTTACTTCCTGGGATCCATTTGCCCTTAGCTCAGGCATGCACTTTGGAGGGTGTGCTTTAGCTGAGAAAGCCCCTCCTCCAGATGAAAGAAAAGAAATGCCATGAAGACTCCTGGGATGTATGACATAATTTTTGCCTAGGCTAGAAACCAAGCAATGTAAGAATTGAAAAAACAAAATAGAAATGTAAAAAAAGTATAAAACATTTAAATATGATATATTTTTTTCCTATCTATTTACTAATGCTAGCAGCATGAAAGTTACAAATATAGTTGCTGTTGATTGAGAGAGCTTAGATCCACTTTAAAGTGCAGTTTCCACACACAATGACAGGAATCCCACACACAATGAGATGGGAACATACACTATTGTTATTATAGGGAAGTTGGACACATAGGCATGCAATGCACATGGTAAAAGGAAGCATTTGTAAATGTGCATTCATAGTCTTCCTATAGGCTAGGTTCACATCTATGCAGATTGCGGTTGATGCATCTTCTAGGTGCATTTTGTGTTTTTTTCACATCCATCTTTGATGCATTTTTTAACCCCTTGCCTACCGGGCACTTGTACCCCCTTCTTTACCAGGCCAGTTTTCAGCTTTCAGCGCTGCCGCACTTTGATTGACAATTGCGCGGTCATGCAAGATTGTACCCAAATGAAATATTTATCATTTTTTTCTCACAAATAGAGCTTTCTTTTGGTGGTATTTAATCGCCACTGGGCGCTTTACTTTTTGTGCTATAAACAAAAATTGCAAAAAATTTGAAAAAAAAAAATTTTTTTCTTTGTTTCTGTCATAAAAATTTTCAAACAGGTAATTTTTCTCCTTCACTGATGTGCGTTGATGAGGCTGCACTGATGGGCACTGATAGGCGACACTGATGGGCACTGATAGGCGACACTGATGGGCACTGATAGGCGACACTGATGGGCACTGATAGGCGGCACTGATGGGCACTGATAGGCAGCACTGAAGGGCACTGATAGGCGGCACTGATAGTCAGAACTAATGAGGTGGCACGGATAGGCGGCACTGATAGGCAGCACTAATGAGGTGTCACGGATAGGCGGCACTGATAGGCGGCACAGATGATGGGTACTGATAGACAGCACTGATAGGTGGCACTGACTGGCATCACTCCTGGGCACTGACTGGCACAACCGCTGGGCACTGACTGGCGGCACTGCTAGGCATTGACTGGCACAACTGCTGGGCACTGACTGGCACAACCGCTGGGCACTGACTGGTGGCACTGACTGGCAGCACTGCATTGATGGGCACTTCTGGGCACAGGTAGGTGGCTCTGATGGGCACAGGTGGGTGCACTGCTGGGCACAGGTGGGTGGAACTGGTGGGCACATGTGGGTGGCACTGGTGGGCACAGGTGGGTGGCACTGGTGGGCACAGGTAGGTTGCACTTCTGGGCACAGGTAGGTGGCACTGCTGGGCACAGGTGGGCGGAACTGGTGGGTGGCACTGCTGGGCACCGATCATCAGGGCACTGATCATCACTGCCCTGATGATCGGTGCCGATCTCTGCTCTGACAATTGCCGGTTCTCGGCAGTACTTTCCTCGCACTCTGACAGCGTGAGGAAAGTGCAGCCGAGAACCGGCAATTGCATTTCCCGGTGATCAGCGTGTCATTGGACACGGCTGATCACATGGTAAAAGGCCGCTGTGATTGGCCTTTTACCACATCACGTGATCAGCTGTGTCGCGCAGGAGAGCGCGTTGTGGGAGGATGTCATATGACGTCCTCCCAGAACTGGCCGGCCGCAGTGTAGCCGTCATTCGGCTATCTGCGGTTGGCAAGTAGTTAATTCATGTTGCATTTTGCGTTTTAGGCTGTGTGTCACTTTTACGCTGGTTGTGAAGAAGCGTTCAGCGTCCTTAACAACCAGTAAACGACAGGCCCCAATCCCCCAACACAATTGAATAATAAAAAAAGAAAAGACAATCGGCGCCACACTGTGCATGAGCCAGGTACTGCCCATTGCACTGGACATGCAGCCTGCGCATCATTAGGGGGCTGGCTTAAAGAAAATGGGAGGGACAGCTGGCACCCTGCTAACTTCAGCCAAAACCAAATGTGAAGGGAGGGGAGTGAGATTCTTCATTAAACACATATATAAAGGCTAAATATATGAACATATATGAAGGCTAAATATATGAACCTGCCAAATAAATTATACTTTTGTCCATCCAGGCCTGGGATTTTCACTGCTATGTCGCCCAGCCCTGTCTGCCTGGACAGAAGACCTGATTTTTCTTTCTTGCAGTTCAGTAAGTGCCGGTTTACATATATGCGGATTGGATGCGGTGTGAACCGCATCCAATCTGCATGATATGTGAAATAACATTGCTTCCTATGGTGCCTGTTTATGTATGTCTGGTGCACTGGAGGTGTGGATTCAGTGTGAACTGAAAAAGAGTCATGAATGGAAGTGTACAATCCAAACGCGCACGGTCCTGCGTTAAAAATGGCTGTGTGTATAAGTGGGTGGTGCAGCGACCATCGGCTGGAACCGAACAGAATCAGCAAGGGAAAATGTCACCAGCACACCGAGGATCACCAATATGGGTCCAAAAGTTTCAATGAACGTTCACGCAGGACCCGTTCCTCAGGCATGTGACGTCACATGCCTGATGAAGGGGTCCTGTGAGACTCCGAAACGTTGCCTTGCTGTAACTATGTGATCATTCATTAAAACGTTTGGACCCATATTGGTGATCCTCGGTGTGCTGGCGACATTCTCCCTTGAAAAAGAGTCCTGTCCAATTTCCAAGCAGTGCGGTCCAGTTCAAGTGTGGATTACGCACTATTGACTTCTATGGAAACAGTTTCCCAAACCGCACATGTGTGAACAGGATAAAATCCTGACCTGAACCTGATGTAAACCTGACCTGAACCACAAAACATCTACTGTGTCAATTAGCTGTGAACCTGGGTTCACACTGATCATCGCATGTGAATCGCACAGGAACCTCGCCACATTCCTGTGCAAATCACTTGCAACTTTTGTGCGGTGCAATTTAAGCCATACATTTTGAATGACTCAAATCGCACCGCATATGCACCAAAATAGTGCAGGACCCTTTTCTGGTCCACACCAGAATCGGATCGCATGGGCATTCACATGATTCAATTCTGCACATCGCACCGCGTTTTGCTAACCAATTTTAGGGTGTTGTTAACTTAAAATACACACCCGCAGCAGTTTACATGAATGGGGTGCGATTATGATGTGATGCGGAAATCGCACAGAAACCAGTGTGAACCTGAGCTGAAACCTGAGCCTTAATCTGCACCGCATATGTGTGAATCAGCTCTACCGCTTAGGCTACGTTCACACTAGCGTTGTGTGCAGACGTGAGAGAGGCGTTTGGGAAGCGTTTTTACCGCTTCCCAAACGCCTCTGCCAATTCTGCACATTACAGCACATGGTGCTGTTCTAACGGGATCGTTTGCGTCGCGTCGCGTTGCGTCGCGGCAAAACGGACACCTCTGGTCGAGTCAGGAGGCTTTGAAGCCTCCTATTCTCGTCTATGGTGCCGCTCCGCAAACGCCCGGCCGGCGTTTGCGGTGCAGTTGCGACGCGGTTGCGGGGCGTTTGCGGAGCGGTAACACCACTCAAACTGCATTATAGGCATTTGTGGGGCGTTATTAACGCTAAAACCGTGCATGCGGCGTTTGTGGAGCGTTTGCGGAGCGTTAAAAAACACACTCCGCAAACGCCGGACCAACGCTTGCCAAACGCTATAGGGGCATTTGGCAAGCGTTGGTAAAACAGCCAAGTGTGAACGAGCCCTTACAGGTCACCTCCCCACCCTCCAGCATGGGAGTGGATAGTGATTGGGGAAGCAGCAGACTGATGAGTTTATCTCTCTGTCTGCTCTTTCCTCCTATCACCATGCTGCTTGTACTCAAGCAAAGCTGATTGGCTCCTTGTGCTGCTTCTTTCTACACCAGCCTGAGCTGCGCTTTACAGGAAGTCATGTACCTTTCACCTGTTGGTGCTCATGTAATGCATATGTGCAATGGCAAAGAGGATGGGCTTTAATGCCCACGCACCGCACATAAGCGTTCACGTACTGCCGAGGCTTCTGTACCGAGTATGCACTCACCGCATGCTCCCAGCACATTGACCGAGCTGTCAATGACAGCTCCAGGTCTCTTAAAATGATTGGGAGCTGGTGGGACCACCGTGACAGCCAATCACACCCCAACTCCGGGGTGTAAAGACTCAATTAAAGGGACACTGGGGAAGGGTGGGAAGGGGTTAATATGTATTTATAAGTACGGCTCCGTATTAATTTGTGCATACTATATCTGCTTAGAATTCAGCTTCAATCCAAGTTGGAAACATTTGCTTACATGGAAATTCTAGTCTCCATTTCAGCAAATCCTAAGGCTATGCTATCAGCGCGCCGCAGTGTCAGGTCGGTGTAATACAGCTCCGGGAAATTGGTTCACTTTTCAGGGCCAGGATGTGATAACAGCCTTATGATATAGCCGCTGTGTGTTTTGATGAGCGGAGAAAGGAACGAATTTATCCAAAGGTCAGCTTTGCTCCCCTGACTTTACATAACCGCTTGCCGTATCTGCAGATAAAACATAACTCAAGAACTTCCCCTGTTCTTGTATTCCAGGAAAATCAATTCTTTTTTATTTCATGAAAACTGATTTTTTTTTCCTCTCCTTTTCATTGCAGGTTATGATTTAGATGCTGAAGTTTACAAATTCTGTTTAAAAATACTAGATTGATTTTGTTTCGATTTTTTTTTTTCTACCCCATTTTTGTTTCTTGCTGTTGGAGACCAACATAAATAATTTTTTTGCTGCATATCATACTGTGTCTGTAGAAAATGTTCAAACTAATTATAAAGATAAAATAACGTCCATCATTAAGGTGAATCTGTGCTATGCCTCATGCCTCATACCTGTGGGATCCCTCTAGAACAGCTTTTCTCAAACATGGTTGCATGGAACTCTAACGTTCCTCCAGAGGTTGCTTGGGGGAGATCTTTTATCTCTGGCTTTCAGCGGCACTTTATGTACATTGGGTTCTACATATTGTAGCTATGTTCATCCAGTTTGGACCAATGTAACTCTGTATTTACCATACCTGTGGGATCCCTCTAGAACAGCTTTTCTAAACATGGTTGCATGGAACTTTAAGGTTCCTCCAGAGGTTGCTTGGGGGAGATCTCTTATCTGGTTTCAGCAGCACTTTATGTACATTGGGTTCTACATATTGTAGCTATGTTCATCCAGTTAGGACCAATGTAACTATGTATATACCATACCTGTGGGATCCCTCTAGAACAGCTTTTTCTAACATGGTTACATGGAACCTTAAGGTTCCTCCAGAGGTTGCTTGGGGGAGATCTCTTATCTGGTTTCAGTGGCGCTTTATGTACATTGGGTTCTACATATCGCAGCTACGTTCATCCAGTTTGGACCAATGTAACTATGTATATACCATACCTGTGGGATCCCTCTAGAACAGCTTTTCTCTAACATGGTTGTATGGAACTCTAAGGTTTCTCCAGAGGTTGCTTGGGGGAGATCTTTTATCTCTGGCTTTCAGTGGTGCTTTATGTAGATTGGGTTCTACATATTGTAGCTATGTTCATTCAGTTTGGACCATTGTAACTATGTATATACCATACCTGTGGGATCCCTCCAAAACAGCTTTTCTCTAACATGGTTGTATGGAACTCTAAGGTTCCTACAGAGGTTGCTTGGGGTTCTTTGAACTATGAACAATTTCTTCTTCTCAGATAACTTCCCATTTCCAAAAAAGTTGGGACGCTGTGATTTGCAAATCCCATTAACCCGTATTTTATCCACAATAGAAAATAGAAAATGTTCAAACTAAGAAAATGTAACATTTTAAAGAAAAAAATAAGGTCATTCTGAAATTGATGGCAGCAACAGGTCTCAAAAATGTGTTTATTTTTACCATGGCATGGCATCCCCTCTTCTTTTGACAGCACTCTGTAAAGGTCTGGGAACTGAGAAGACCAGGTGCTGGAGTTTTGGGAGAGAAATGTGGTCCCATTGTTGCCTGATATAGTATTCTAACTGCTCAGCAGTCCTGGGTCTTCTTTGCCATCTTGTTTGTTTGAAGATGCACCAAATATTTTAAATTGGGGAAAGGTCTGGACTGCAGGCCGGCCATTTAAGCACCTGGACTCTTCTACTATGAAGCCATGCTGTTGTCATAGATGCAGTATGCGGTTTATCATTCTCCTGCTGAAATATGCAAGACCTTCCCTGAAAAAGACGTCTGGATGGGAGTAAATGCTGCTCTAAAACCTGGATATATCTTTCAGCATTGATGGTTCCTTTCCAGATGTGCAAGCTGCCTGTTCCATATGCACTAATTCACCCCCATACCATACAAGCCAGAAGTTCCCCCTCCTCTGTTTTCTGGAGAATGTGGCACCCAGTGTAGGTAACCACTGGAGCCAATGATTTTTTAGCTAACTGTAATAGGAGCGATTCTTCCTCATGACCACAAATGAAAAGAGCATTCTTCTCAGTAGCCACCCCACCAATGCACCATGACCATGAGATGTAGATATAGTAATTGTTAGCAGGGATTCCCTGAAACCTGGAAGTTATTTTAAGATGTCCTCCATGTTAAAAAGAGAAAGGCCTCACTTGATCAGTGTTTCTCGATATTTAAAATTCAGAAAAATATTGAGGCACACCATTTTAAAATGTAAAAAACTAGACTAATATTTTTTTATA